GGAGAGGGAGAAGCAGGCTTCCCGCGGAGCAGGGAGCCTGATGTGGGGCTCGATCCCAGGACCCTGGGATCATGACCTGAGCCGAAGGCAGACACCCAACGACTGAGCCACCCAGGCGCCCCTGAATATTTTTAAATGCATGTAGTCATAAACATAAAATAGCCAAGATAGCAAGATATTTTTAAGTTATGAAAAAGTGATATATGTGCTTCTTTATCAAGGCTTTAAATAACAAGATGGTGCATTTGAAATAGGTGAGTTAATTTTTTTGAAGAGATCAGTGTGAGGCTGTATGCATTCAACACAATATTTATCCATGTTACAGTAAACTGTATTGCCTTATAGGCAGTCAAGAATTTTCCTTGAACTGACCTCTTTGACAAAACTACAGTACAAATGATTGGCCTCATTATATGTTGACCAACAGATGTACTGGAAAGCAGCTAGATGTCTGGGATACACCATAACACATGGCTTCCCCATCTGGTGGCTGAACAATCCGGTATAGTTACCCAATGGTTAGTTACATCATAGGAGTATCTGTAGATAAGGCAACTTTGATAATGTGTAGTCTAGCAGATCTATTGAATGTAACTTTGAAGTAATGATGAGAGGAATAATGTGGAAGTATATAAGTTTTAATGTTATATGAATAAATGTCATTTTTATTGGTGACAGTCACAGATACTGGTAATATTATAGTTTATACTTTTAGTTGAAAGGAAATACTAAATTTCAGTTCAAGGTTATATAACACTCTTTTTACTAGCTGTAAAAAAATACTTTGCTAACTGAAGAACTGATGCAAATCTTTTTTGTTAGTAAAACTTGTTGCTTCAAACTGGTTTGCTTTTTGGAACATGAGGGCTTTTCCCCTTAATGATGCCAGGGCTTATAGCCAATATATAAGCTTACTAAACTAAAAAGTACTTTGTCCCCCAAGAAAATCAGGTTTAGTTGTGAAAACTTGGTAGAAGTAGACCTTTTTTTCCTTTTTCTCTGTTCAGATAGCTGATCTGGCCAATGAAGACACACCACAGCTCTATGTGGCCTGTGGTAGGGGACCCCGATCATCTCTGAGAGTCCTAAGGCATGGACTTGAGGTAAGCTGGGCATTTTTAAATCATTTGCAGGGTTTGGGGAGAATCACTGAAAAAGCAGCTTATGGCTTTATTCTGATGAGATCAATGATATATTTAATGTTTATATGAAAGAAAAAATGTTTTCTTCCTTTTGTTTTTCCATAACAAAGTTTAAATTTCCTGATCTTTAACATGTTAGCACAGTAGACACATTTTTAAAAATTGGCAAATGGAGTTAAAAAGGGGAAAATAACCCCTACTGGCTCCAGGTTCACCAGCTAAAACATGGAGGAAGTCTGCGTGGAGCATTTTATTCCATTTTCTTCTAGTCTTGGTCTGTAATCAAAGTGTTTAGGTATTTATGTATTTTTAACTATATTAATACTGTATTTTTTAATATTTTATATTTATATATATGTAAGTTTATGTTCCTAAGTTGTATTCTTTTTAATGTTTTTGCAATATTCCACTATAGTGGATGGATCAGAATTTATTTAATAAATCCTTTATTGCTGGATCTTTTAGGTGACATGGACACTCAAATCCCATATCCTCTTAATTTGTTCTAAGGTTGATGCTTTTCTTAGCAAGTTCCCTGGAGTTGATTTTGTTAAGAGAAAATAAAGCTTCCTATGGCAGTTTGCTTTAGAGTTGGGGGTTGGCAGACTATAAGCTGTCAGTGACCCACTGCGTGTTTTTGTAAATTTTTATTGGAACATAGCCAAGATGACTGACCTTGGTTTTGAATTCTGGCTCTACCATTTAATAGCTGTTACTAAGCTTTAGTTTCTTCTTTTCTATAAAATGAGCTCAGTAATGGTACCTGCTTTAAAGATTGTGTGAATTAAATGAGATAATGCATATGAAGAAGCACTTAGCTCAAGGTCTGGCATACAGTAGCTGTTCAATTTATGCTAGCTATTAATACTGCTGTTTCAGGGAATTTGAAAATTTTTTGGCTCTGTCAAAACACTCATCAGGCTAGTAAATTTTTTTTTTTTTAATTTTATTTATTTGAGAGAGAGAGTGAGAGAGAGAGAGAGCACAAGAAGGGGGGAGGGTCAGAGGGAGAAGCAGACTCCCCGCTGAGCAGGGAGCCCGATGTGGGACTCGATCCTGGTACTCCGGGATCATGACCTGAGCCGAAGGCAGTCGCTTAACCGACTGAGCCACTCAGGCACCCAGGCTAGTAAATTTTTAATGACTTGAACCCAATTTAGACTAACAGTTTTTGATTGCTCATCAGATACCATTTAGCATTTGACAGAAGCTAACATTCTCCACCAAAAGTGCATGCGTGCATTAACAGAAAATTTTGTGTACAGTGTAAGAATCCAATTAAGAATTATTTTTGAGTCTTCCACCTCTTCCCACTTTTTTCCAGTTCTACAAAAGATCTCTGTTATACAGAAAAATATTTTGAAATTGTTAAACGTTACTTTGTTCCTCTATATCTCTTTGTTGAACCTGTTGTTAAGCTAAATTATGGTCTCATTTGAGCAGGGTCACTGTCACATGTTATATTTGGTATAGAGTATGGCACTCCAAAACTGATATTTTATTGGTGATGAAGTTTTCCACAATTTTCCTGTTCCATGATCAGGTATTACTATTATTTTATTAGTTAAGTAAAAAAAAAAAAAAAAGGTAATGCCTTTAATGGGTATATGTGAGTACTCTCTGTAAAATGGGGTTACATGGTACAATATTTTAAGCACATCATTTCTGGGTCATTTAAAAGTAACATTTTTATTTTGGAATGGTTTTATATTTACAGAAAAATTACAGGAATTTTATAGTGAGTTCATATGTAACCTACACCTAGTTTTCCCTTCTAGATTATTTAGTTCATCTCAAATATTTCATTTCCTCTCATATTTGAGAACTATAGGATACTCAGAGGATTCTTGACTCTAACCTTAGGTACCATAAAATCTAGTAGGAAGGACAGAATAATTCCTGAAATCACTTTTTAGGTAAATGCGCTAGGAGGTGATGATTTCTGTGAGAGCTTATAGGAGGGAGAGTGGACTGCCTTGCAAGAGGATAAGGGAAGATTTTTCCTAAAGGATGTGGCATTTGAATTGGCCCTTGAGAGATGGGATTTGGCCTTAAGGGAGCTAGGGAAGAAATGGGATGCTAACTTAGATGATGGCCTGTTTCATTCTATGTGCTCTCTTTTTGAGGAGGATGCAGGCATGTCATACTGAAAGAAATCGTATGGTTTTTGCTGCAACAACTATCCTAAATATTCTATCACTTTTTGCTAAACTTTGTTACGGGGATTGCCAGTATTTCCAAGCCTTTTTGGTTCTTAGTGTTCTTCTTTTTTTTTAATAAAATGATTCCATTCTTTTAAAGATTAAAAAAAATTTTTTTGTTTTACTTTTAAGTAATCTCTACAATCCAACATGGGGCTTGAACTTACAACCCCAAGATCAAGAGTCACATGCTCTACCAACAGAGCCACCCAGGTGCCCTGGTTCCATTCTTTTAATCCAACGTGCATTGTGAGCACTGCCTTTTTGGAATCCTTTTATCTAGTGTAGTTGTAAGCAAGGAGCTAAGTTCTATGCTCACTGGATCTGTGGTTTGTCTCCTCTCCTATCAGGTATCAGAAATGGCTGTCTCTGAGTTACCCGGTAACCCTAATGCTGTCTGGACAGTGCGTCGGCACATTGAAGGTAAGCAGCCCTTTCCCAGTAGTCAAAATGCGGGTCTGGGTGACATTGACAATAGAAGGCTTAGGAGTCTGCATTCATAAAATTTCTATATTGCTTTATTTAGCAATATACTAGAAACATTTTCTGGCCTGACACCATGTTTCTCAGACTCTCTGAATCAGGATGCCTTCACTTTTTTGTGCACATGAGTAAGGGGACTATATTCATCTTTAGGATACTGGTTCCATCTGTGTAAGAGGTGTGGTGTGAGGGAAAGTTTTCGCTTCCTCATTTTTCTTCAGTGTTTTCTTCTATTGTGCTGAAACTACGGTGAAGTTAAAGGTGTTGTTCTAGGTATTAAGAGGTTTGATTAAGCTTATTAATTAGTGCTGCTCAGTGGGTGTAGTTGTGTTTCAGGAAAGTTTAGATTGAGATTGAATGGAATCAGAATTTTAGAGTGGGTGGAAAAGAAGGGATGGAGGAAACAGTCCATGCTCCTGGATAAAAGTAGTCACTTCATCCTAAAATTATAAAATTTAAGTGAAAATGCATAATAGTACAACAGCAGGAAAGTCTTGAATCAATTGAATTTGAGAAATGAAACTTAATTCTCATTTTCCCTTGGATTCTTCGGGGGTGTAGGTCATTTCTATTCCTAGACTTCGTCTTCCTCTTGTTCCCTTAGGAATGTCGGCCTGGTGAGTAAGATCACCCTGGCCAGCATACAAAGCTTTTTCAAGAAAACAGCTGGAAATCTTCCTGATACTTTGATCTCCTGATATTTTGATGTTCTAATGTTTGATTTTATGGGAGCTGGGAAATGTGTAGGAGGGAAACCTCTTCCTATTAGTAGAATGCATTGTGGTGGATTTTGTTTTCATGTGGACATTTGAGCCAAGTCTGAGATGAGTAGAAAGAAAAAAGAAAAAGCAAACAGGAAATTAGTAGGTTCATTTTTGCTGAGAAGATAATTCTCAGATGATTGATTTTGAAGGATTTCCTCATTTTGTGTAATGTCTTCATAAAGAAACTGGTCAGTATTGATCATCTTTAGCTTCGTGGCTGGTTGATATTACAGCTCTTGATGTAAACATTGCCTACACTTTGAATTTTTTGAGCCTTTGAGATAAAACCTAATATTCCCCCCTCTTGTGTTTTTGTTTCATTTTCTATTTCTTAAATTGAACATAGGTTTAGATTTACAGGAAGGTTACCCCTCATTTCTATGATGAAGGCAGAAAAATCACACAGGTTGACTGTGGTGGTCCAAGATAGTGCATTGAGGTAATAGAGACTGAAAGCACGGACTCTGAACTTCCAATCCAGTGTTCATTTGACTAACCCTGTAGTGGGAGTCTGTGGGTCTTGCTGGTTTTTTAGGATAAGTGCTGTATTCTTCATCCTGCAGTCTCTCAAGTGTCTACCTTGTACTCAGAGTAATTAAGGTAGGACCCTTCCTCTCAGGGCACTTGGAGTCTAAAAAAGAAGACAAGTATACAACACTGCGTGTGTGCTGATGTAATGAAAGGCACAGCATGTTGCCAGGGCAAGTTAGAGGACAGGGAATGGGCTTATGTTGGAGAATCAGAATCCTGTGGACAGTGCTTGATAAGTCAGTGATAAGTAGTATGTTGCATGATGGAACTTGTAGCTGAAATTTTTTCTTCTCTAAATACCAAAATCTAGGAAAAGACTTAAATCCTGATAAATTTTACTCTTTAGAAACTATAATTTGGGTGATCACCCGCAAAAACAGGTCAGGTTCTCTCTGTTCGTTCTCTTTCCAGATACTCCAAGTTACTGTTGAGTGAATAGCCCACATGTCCACACATGCTGTAGTCTTCCAGGCAACTACTAACCTTGGCTGGTACGTGGTGATGCACACTACCAATACCAAGCCTTTTTTTCTCTTCCACAGGTGGCTGGTGAAGGTGCTGATCACCACAGGTGTGTACGTACTGCTAGGGTCTACCATGGGGTCTTATAGTTTACCCAGGGAGAGGGATCTGCACAAAGTAATAAGACTGCCCTGATGGCATCTCTCAGAGGGTAACTTTGCAGTTGGCTGTCGTGCATTATAGAGATGCATGCCCATCTGCCTGTACATTACGTGGTCTGAGGCAGGAATCAGCGTCCTTACTTTTTCCCTTAGTGGAAAATATGACTAATTTGTCTTTCACTAAGCTGAAAGAATCTACAGCTAGGAAAACCTTAACTCCATACTCTTCCTTTGGAGTTTTGTATGTTCCAGTTGTACTGACTCAAGTCCTGGAGAAAGCTGCCTTTTTTGGGAGTATAATCAGGACTGCTGAGGCAAGACAGGCATGAAGTAGTCCGAGTATAAAGTAAGAATGAGATACTGGAAGCTTAAGTCACTTTACCTGTTAGAGTGAGCTTTTGAGCTTCAGATACTAAGGCAGAGGAAAGAAGAATAAAGTATTCCCTCCTCTGTGGGCTGCTTCAGCAGTGCTCAGATAGAAGTCCTATTTAAGTGAGAAAGATGCATTCTCATACCCTAATACATTCTTCACTGAGGTATGAACTAATGTTCTTTTTTTATATATATATAAGATTTTTTTTTTTTTTTTAAGACTGTATTTATTTGAGAGCAAGAGAGACAGAGATAGAGCACAAGTGGAAGGAGAGGGAGAAGCAGGCTCCCGGCTCGATCCCAGGACCCTGGGATCATGACCTGAGCCGAAGCAGAGGCTTAACTGACTGAGCCTCCCGGGCGCCCCTGAACTACTCTTCTTTTATATGAAACTTGTAACTTCTGGAAAAAGGCAAAGTGGATATTTATGGTCATTTACCTTGATTTTGTTCTGAATTCCAACTTTTTTTTTTTTTTTTAAAGATTTTATTTATTTATTTGA